AGCCCGGTCACGCTTTGACAGGTTCGACCGTCTCTTTTAGATCAGGATGTTAGTCACGCTAACCCGGCCACACTGAGACGCTAACCTAATCACGCTGTCACGCTGACCTGGTCACGCTGTCACGCTCACTTCGTCACGCTGTCACGCTGGTCACCCTTTGAGAGGTTCGACCGTCTCTTTTAGATCAGGCTGTTAGTCACGCTCACCCGGTCACGGTGTCACGCTGACCTAATCACGCTGTCACGCTGACCTGGTCACGCTGTCATGCTGCCCTGGTCACGCTGTCGAGCTGGCGTAGTCACGCTGTCACGCTGACCTAGTCACGATGTTACTCCAACCCGGTCACACTGAACCGGTCATGCTTGGTTTAAATTGGTAATAAGTTCGACAATATGATCTGTCGAGAGTACGGAAAGATCTGTCACAAGTAGAGTAAGATCTGTCAAGAGTCCGTTAGGTAAGGTTAGGATTGGTTGGACCATTTAGTTTGAGATAAAGATCTGTCGAAAATAGGGAAAGATCTGTCACGAGTAGAGTAAGACTGTTAAAAGTACGGAAAGATCTGTCACGAATAGAATAAAATCTGTCACGAGCCCGTTAGGTTAGGATTGGTTGGACCATTTAGTTTAAAATAAAGATCTGTCGAAAACTTAGAAAGATCTGTCACAAGAAGAGTAAGATCTGTCACGAGCCCGTTAGGTTAGGTTAAGATTGGCTGGACCATTTAGTTCCAGATAACGATCTGTCACACTGTCACCAAAACCTGTTCAAGCCGTCGCAGTGACCTGGTCACGCCGTCACGCCGGCATCGTCACACTGTCACGCTCGCCTGTCACGCTAACCGGTCACGCTGTCACGTTGACCCGGTCACGCTGTCACGACAACCTGGTCACGCTGTGACGCTGACCTAGTGACGATGTCACGCTGACCTTGTCACGCTGACCTGGTCACGCTCTCGCGCTCAACTGGTCACGCTGTCACGCTGCCCAGGTGACACTGTCACGCTGGTGTGGTCACGCCATAACGCCGCCAAGGTCACGCTGTCACGCTAGCCTGGTCACACTGTCACGCTGACCTGGTCACGCTGTCACGCTGACCTGGTCCCGCTGTCACGCTGACCCGGTCACGTTTCCTTGGTCACGCTGTCGCGCTAACCTTAGTCACGCTGTCACGCTGAGCCGATCACGCTGACCTGGTCAGGCTGTCACGCAGACCTAGTCACGCTGTCTCGGTAACCCGGTCACGCTGACATCGTCACCCTGTCACGTTGACCTGGACGCTGTCATGCTGACCTGGTCACGCTGTCACCCTGACCCGGTCACGCTGACCTGGTCACGGTGTCACGCTGACCTAGTCACGCTGACCCGGTCACGCTCACATCATCACGCTGACCTGGTCACGCTGTCACGCTGACCTGGTCACGCTGTCACGCTGACCTGGTCACGCTGTCACACCGGTTTAATCACGCTGTCGGTCACATTCACCTTGTCAAGCTGTCACGCTGACCTGGTCACACTGTCACGACGACCTGGTGCCGCTCTGACGCTGACCTAGTCACGCTGAACTAGTAACGCTGTCACGCTGACCCGGTCACGTTTCCTTGGTCACGCTGTCACACTAGCCTAGTCACGCTCTCACACTGTCCTGGTCACGCTCTCACGCTCAACTGGTCACGCTGTCACGCTGCCCTGGTGACCCTGTCGCGCTGGTGTGGTCACGCTATAACGCCGCCAAGGTCACGATGTCACGCTAGCCTGGTCACACTGTCACGCTGACCTGGTCACGCTGCCACGCTGACCCGGTCACGCTGTCACGCTGACCCAGTCACGCTGTCACGTTGACCCAGTCACGCTGTCACGCTAACCTGGTCACGCTGTCACGTTGACCTGGTCACGCTGTTACGACGACCTGGTCACGCTGTCACGCTGACCTGGTCACGCTGTCACGCTGACCCAGTCACGCTGTCACGTTGACCCAGTCACGCTGTCACGCTAACCTGGTCACGCTGTCACGTTGACCTGGTCACGCTGTCACGCTGACCTGGTCACGCTGTCACGCTGACTTAGTCACGCTGTCACGCTAACCTGGTCACGCTGTAATGTTGACCTGGTCACGCTGTCACGACGACCTGGTCACGCTGTCACGCTGACCTGGTCACGCTCTCACGCTGCCCTGGTGACCCTGTCACGCTGGTGTGGTCACGCTTTAACGCCGCCAAGGTCACGCTGTCACGCTAGCCTGGTCACACTGTTACGCTGACCTGGTCCCGCTGTCAGGCTGAACTAGTAACGCTGTCACGCTGACCTAGTCACGCTGTCACGCTAACCTGGTCACGCTGTCACGCTGCCCTGGTGACCCTGTCGCGCTGGTGTGGTCACGCTATAATGCCGCCAAGGTCACGATGTCACGCTAGCCTGGTCACACTGTCACGCTGACCTGGTCACGCTGTCACGCTGACCTGGTCACGCTGTCACGCTGACCCAGTCACGCTGTCACGCTAACCTGGTCACGCTGTCACGTTGACCTGGTCACGCTGTTACGACGACCTGGTCACGCTGTCACGCTGACCTGGTCACGCTGTCACGTTGACCCAGTCACGCTGTCACGTTGACCCAGTCACGCTGTCACGCTAACCTGGTCACGCTGTCACGTTGACCTGGTCACGCTGTCACGCTGACCTGGTCACGCTGTCACGCTGACTTAGTCACGCTGTCACGCTAACCTGGTCACGCTGTAATGTTGACCTGGTCACGCTGTCACGACGACCTGGTCACGCTGACCTGGTCACGCTCTCACGCTGCCCTGGTGACCCTGTCACGCTGGTGTGGTCACGCTATAACGCCGCCAAGGTCACGCTGTCACGCTAGCCTGGTCACACTGTTACGCTGACCTGGTCCCGCTGTCAGGCTGAACTAGTAACGCTGTCACGCTGACCTAGTCACGCTAACCTGGTCACGCTGTCACGTTGACCTGGTCACGCTGTCACGACGACCTGGTCACGCTGTGACGCTGACCTAGTCACGCTGTCACGCTGACCTGGTCATGCTCTCACGCTTAACTGGTCACGCTGTCACGCTGGTGTGGTCACGACATAACGCCGCCAAGGTCACGCTGTCACGCTAGCCTGGTCACACTGTCACGCTGACCTGGTCCCGCTGTCAGGCTGAACTAGTAACGCTGTCACGCTAACCTAGTCACGCTGTCACGCTGACCCGGTCACGCTGACCTGGTCACGCTGTTACATTAACTATTTATTCAATACATTTTATTACAAACCTTTTAATTTTATCTAAAAAAATATCAATGGAAGATAAATGTTGAGGAACGACTAATTCACTGAAAATCAAATAGTGATACATCTCACTCTCTGAGGGGTGAGACATAATCGTCTCACCGAAAAAGGGTGATACTAAAATGTATCACCGAAAAACAGGTCGTACACGCACGTATCACCGAAAAAAAGGTCGTACACGAATGTATCACCGGAAAAAAGGTCGTACACGAATGTATCACCGAAAAAAAGGTGAGACATCAGCGAGATTAGCCCTTGTTTTCCTGGGGAAGTATCACCCTTTTTTCGGTGATACATTTGTGTACGACCTTTTTACGGTGATACATGCGTGTACGACCATTTTTTCAGTGATACATTCGTGAACGACCTTTTTTTCGGTGATACATTTTGTATCGCCGAAAATTGGTGAGATGTCTCACCCTTTGAATTACAGTGAAAGCAACAGATGGTCAAGTTCTTTCTTTTATTCCCCTTCCCTGCATGGCTATGAGACCACCCTCCCTGGCCAGGGTCCCACTGCAAGCCCCGAACACCCCACTGGCAAGTGCCACTGTTGCCCAGCCCATAAATACAACCGAGCCAGAGCTCCGCCAACAGTCTGCGGTCTGGCCCTGCCCTGTGAACACTGAACCTCAATAAACACTCTACCAAAGCCAACGTGTTGTCATCGCCCTTCACCTGCCAAACCCAACAACTGGTGACAGCGGTGCAAGTGGCGGCAACACTTGGCCGAGGCTGGGTTTTTGCGAGGGGGAGTGGGAGCGCGGATCAGATCCAGAGTGCCGAGAGTTTGCGAATGAGTGAGTAAACGAGTTGACTAGCAGCTCAGTAGGGGGTGGAGGCAAGTGCAGGAAGTTCAGGCTGTCCACTGGACGGAGCCGTACGACCGAGCAGCCCTTGAGGCAGGTGCAGGAGTACAGGCTGTCCAGGCGGAGCCGCGAATCCGAGCAGCCCAACCCCAGACCGAATGTGTGAGTGAAAGAGAAAGTGGTCCGAGGCAGGTGCAGGCGGTTCAGACTGTCCACTAGCCGGAGCCGTACGACCGAGCAGCCCTTAAGGCAGGTGCAGGGGTACAGGCTGTCCGCTAGGCGGACAGCCGGTAATTAATTATTTTTTTTTTTGATTTCAGTTGTGCCACTCTTGCGCTTCCCATTATATTGGGCTGAGCCTGGGTACCCATGAAGTCCTGGAGCGGAAGGGCATTGTGGAATTCCATGAACCTTCCGAGGGCGCAGAGATCTTGTACCGTGACATTATTGGAGAGGAGAAATACAACAAGATGGGCTTCCACTGTGAGCTGGCGGGGTGCATATTATGAGACCCTTTACGGGCTCGGCACCCCTCCCCCACCACCGCCCCAGAGGAGCTCCCAGACGGCTCGCGCGAGGCTAGCCACCGTCGCTATGAGAGATGCGGCGGCCGCTGTGCTGGCGCCGCCCTTTTTGAATCTTGCTCTGAGATGAATGCTGGATGCCCAATATTTTATGCGTGACGGTACTTTCCAACATAGCAGTGCAGAGGTGCTTTACCCAACGCACATGACAATAACTGTATTGAAGTGATATGCTGTAGAGTATATAAAATTTATAATAGACAAAATCATAAAATGAAAATACAGAAGGCGTTGCGAGGGGTGACAAAGAAAAGCAAACTGTGCCATTGAATTATTAAACTTTATTTTTACTTTTTTCAAAGAGGTATAGAAGAACTAATTTTCATCCATTTTTTCATAGACTGTCTCCTGCGATGAAAAAATAATGCATTTAAGTCTACTATCTCATTCCCTATCCAAAGATTACATGCTTTTGTATTGTGAGGCATTACTTACTGATTGTGGCTGTGAAAATACCATCCGTTTCTTCAAAGATAGGCTCTTAACTTTATTAACGACAGTCTTCTTTTCACATCTGCAACAATAGTATCAGCGAATTTTAGTGCTTTCTAGCCTAATAGATACAATTTTTCAATTTTTAACAACTCAAAAGTGAATATATGATTTTCTTACCTGCTGTTGTTAAGCTCTTCATACTTCGTTTGCCATAGCTGAAGCTTGACAAGTAGTTGCCTGTTCTCAACCTCTTTTTTCTTACAACATTCAATTACGGCTTCTAATTCTTTCTGATATGACTCTTTAACAGATTCTAATTGCTTCTGACATGCCTCCTTTTCAGCTTCCATTCCTTTCTTACAGGCGTCTAATTCTTGCTTTAATTTTCTAATGCATTCCTCGTGGACTTCTTTCTCCTCATTTTGCTTGTCACATTGTTCTTTGAGTATTCTTATTTCCTTGTCTTTGACATCACATTCTGCTCTTAAAGCTGTCACCTCCTCATCTTTCTCATTGTAACATTTCTCTTTCGTTTTGCTTTGATTGACGAGTGACTTCACGACAATCAACACATTTGACATTTGACCTTTTAAAATCTTTATTTCCTGCAAAGCAAGGGCAAAAGATAAAGAAAGACAATGTACATAACGTCTCAGATTTTAGACTTACAAAATTGATAATGACAAACTCACATTACTGGCTTGCTCGAAATCCGCTTTGGAGACACTGTCTTTCCCCTCATTGCACTCTTTCACACAATTTGGACAAAGCCAAGTATCAGGTGTCTCTGCAAAAGAGATAACAGTTAGATTGGAATGTGAAATTGATATTACTATTTTGGTGTAGGACATTGACCATACTTTGACTTTTCTTCACAGATACACAGCTTCCGTGAAACCAATTTTTGCATTTGGTGCACTCGATCATAAACCTGTAAACAAAACCACATTACTGTTAAAAGAGGCATGATCATGAAGATTAAAAAGAATATTGGGTCAAAATCTGTAAACCTGTTGTATCCTGCTGGCTTTCTACACACACAAAAGAGTTCCTCTTCCATGGCACTCCTCGTAACACTTCTGGAAAAATCAGAAAACAGAAAGTCAGATGTAGCCTAAAAGAGGTCAAAACAAAACTCATCCCACAAAAGAAACAAAGGGAAATGCAAACGGAAGACAGAGCTCCGAAGATTCAGCATCCCCATCCGCCAAGAAAATATACTTAAAACACATGATGAAATGGGGTCACTAAATATGTTGAACCACTTAAAATTCTACCTTTATTATTATTCAGAAAGAGCCCTAAGAAAAGAGGCGTTGGAAATTTAACAAGGATGAAAACTGTAATAGGTTAGAAAGCTACCTTCTATACTTACACTCACAAGAATGCACTAGATAATCAGATTTAACCACCAAGCCTTATCAGAGATAGTTCTACACGTTTTGGAACAAGAAAATTCACATTATCTAGTTTAGTTTTTGCTATAATACCTTAGAAATTGGAACTTTTAGCAGTTTCCCGCCCAAAGCCTTCAGATTGGCACCTGTTAACTTGACAACTCAGAGGAGTCTTCAGCTCAGGCCACTTTTGTAACTGTCATGTTTAGAGACATATTCTAAACTTAACATGGAGTTTGTGGACTCTGATAATGAAACCACTGGTGAACCTACCAAGTTTGTGGCAGAAAAAGTGACAGATGAAAAGGAACCAGGAAAAGAATGCTACAGAGTTTCGGTGAACAGTAAGGAGGAAGCTATACAATGGTTAGGGATTTATCAAAAGCAGTCTAGAACCCATTGGATAGTTCACAAGACATTCCCAGATCGAGACAGGTGAGTTTTATAATTATAATTGAAGCCTTGGAGTACTGAGCATAAAACACCAGCTCATGTCGTCATAGCCTTCGAAGAGTGACGGTATTCCCCCTCGTCTCTTCTGCCCGTCAGATTTACAAAAGTAATTGAATTTTCAGGTACACATTTCGAAAAGTTTGGAAATGCAATCTATCAGAGAGAAATAAAGCACCAGATGGTTTAAGAAACCAACACTGTCCAGCTACATTAGAAATAAAAATTAAACTTGTAACCAAGGACACGAAGAAGAAAGACAAATTCATAGGAAAACATGATCCACCGTTACCATGCATTGTGACCATTGATTCTAGACACAATCACCACATAGATGTTAGCGACACCATGCAATATCTGAGAGGTGATGAAAAATTAAGGAAGAAATTCGAAGAGTACTTTGATGATCGCATGAAGCCTGGAGAAGCCATGAGGCTACATGAGGAAAAACTGGCACTTGAAGATAAAGGTGAAGAGCTACTAGCTGATGCTCACTATAATCCTAAAGCAAATACAGTATACTGGTGGCATCAAGAGTGGCGAAAAAAGAATTTTGGTCCACCACAAGACCCCCTTTCAATGCTAGAGATCAAATGCAAAGACTATGAAATTGGTGGTAGGTAAACTAAGCAGTGCAAGCAACAAGATATACTAGTACACACGCATAATAAATAATTGATTGTTTTGTTTTTCAATTTACAGGCTCAACAGTAGTAGTTTCAAAAGAAAGCCCATATTGTGTGCTAGTGTGCACACCTATAATGAAGAGGGCACACAACTTAGCCACAGCAGAGGAGATTGCATTCATAGACACTACTGGCACAGTGGATGCTTCCCACAGCAATGTAACAGTGATTTCTACTGCATCAAAGATTGGTGCTGTTCCTATGGCCATCATCATGCATGAAAACCAGAAGGAACCCTGTTACACCAAAGCATTTGATCTTTTCAAGACATCTTTTCCAAAAGCTTTTCATGGCAAAACCGTAAGTGATTTGAAATTTGAATATTGTCAGAGGATTAAAATAAATGATGGCTCACCTTTTTACTTTCACAACAGGAACCTCAAGTTTTCATGACTGACAACTCTGCTGCTGAGAAAAATGCAATCCGTAATGTGTGGCCAGAATCAGATCAACTTCTGTGCCATTTCCATGTTGTCCAACAGGAGTGGACTTGGCTATTATCTTCAAAACATGGAGTTGAGGCAGACAAGAGACAATATTACATAAAGGCAGTTCAGAAGGTCTGTAAAAAATAAATCAAAATAAAATTAGCGACATTTGACTAAAACAAAACATAATAGATTTTAACTTGTTTGAATTTTTCAGATTATGTATGCAAAATCAACAGAGGAGTTGACAGAAAGCATAGAAAATTTCAATAAAGCAGTGGACCATGAAGGTTACAAGAAAAGGATAAATGACTTTCTTGACAGAAAAGAAGAGTGGGTTAGTCTTTTTCGTGATTTTCTTCTCATGCGTGGTCACCACACAAACAATTTCTCAGAAGCCACCATTAGAATTTTGAAAGATGTCATTCTCCAAAGGATTAAGGCGTACAATCTTGTAGCTTTAATAAACTATATTGTGACTGTCTGGCAGAATTATATGAGAAATAGAATTTTAAGAGTTGCCTACAATAGAGATTCTAAACCAGTGCTGGTATATGAAGCCACATTGAGGAAAATTGACATTGACCTGGCTAATAAAATTGTCAAAGTTGATGAAGACACATTCATGGTGCCATCAGCTACCACATCGGAGCTGATGTATGAAGTCAACCGCTCCCTGGGTGTGTGCAATTGCAAAGCTGGCTGCAGTGGAGCATTTTGCAAGCACCAGGCATTGCTGCACTCAGTGGAAGGTGGCTGCTTCCCAAATGCTCCACCCATTTTGTCATCCGATCGATACCAGCTTGGATTGTTGGCTATGGGTGAGAAGTGTCCTCCCCCAAAATTTTTCTTGGGACTGAAAGAAGGTCTGGATGGAGGCACGCCATTGAATCTGCAAGAAGATACAATCACTTCAATGGATTTGCAAGAAAACACAGTAACTTCAATTGAACAACAAGCAGAAGATGCGATTGACATCAACCAGGTAATAAAATAATAACAAAGTTGCTCAAATGACTGCCATTATTGAGAAAATTTTTAGATTGTGATTGTCTTATTTTTGTTAACAAAAGGTAACAAACAACATTCAAGAGGAGTCAAGCTTCACAACTGAAGAAAAAGCCGGAATTCTTAAACAGTTTGGAGAGGAATGGGAGAGACTACATGACCTTGCAGGCAATGAAGACAAATACTTTGAGTACATGCAAAAGGCTATTAAAGGCCTCAAAAAAGTTACCACTGGAAGTGGGGCAACAAGTGCCATGGTGAACGTCGCAGACTCATTAAAGGGATACTCTTCATCATCTGTGCGTTTGGGACGGATGAAGGTTCTGGGCAAATCGATTGCACGAAGGCCTCCAAATGCTCCAAGGACCAGTAACCGGCTCCCTGCAGGAAGGAAACCAGGGAAAGCAAGTGCCACACAGGAAGAAGATCCATCGTCGAGTCTGAGGAAAACAAAATCAAAGAAAATTAAACGCAGGCGTCAAATTGCTGAAAGCATTCGCAACAATATCGCTCATGTTAAGTCTCACTAAATTGTAATGAAATGGTTATCATATTCACCATACAATACCAATAGCAACATAAGATAAAAGATCCAAATGACATGTTATTTTGAAAACTATTTTTGTAATTTTTAACTTAAAAATGAATCCTATTTATCTAGTCTTTTTAAGTCTTTTATTGCAACTTCTATACTGTTGTCAATTTTAATAAATTTTATAATTTATTACAAATTTACTTTTTAAATGTTTCTTAATAGCAATTTTGTTACAAGGCATGGCTTCTATGATATTGTTTCAAAAGCATTTATAAATACATGTACTTTAGTGACAAAGTATAATTAGTTTCCTGTTGACTTATTTACATACCATTCCTCCTTGACGATGCAGGCCTCCACATCACACCAAACAATTTGTACACAAAGTCATATTTCGCATCGCGTAAAAAGTCCATATTGAAGCAAGCAACGCAAATTTGCATGGAAGCAACTGCTCTTAACGCATATTTTCCCACGCTCTGTTGAAAATTCCCACGCGCTCAGCTGGTAAACGCTGCATCGGTCAGCATGTCGCATTTTAATGGCGGCGATAGAGGTGATAGGAGCTGTTCGGGCGAATTTGCCATAATGGTGGCGGCTAGCCTCGCGCGAGCCGTCTGGGGCCTCCTCTGGGGCGGTGGTGGGGGAGGGGTGCCGAGTCCCGAAAGGGTCTCATAATATGCTGGCGGCGTGCTTCTGGGGCGACTGCATCGCCCAGCCGGTGCGTGCCCGGATTTGCAACTGCGCCAAGCGGAAGTGTTACGGGAACCCTGCCCTGGAAGCTGAGCGACTTGCGCTGGAGGCTTCTTTGAAGAATGCGAAGATCGACCTGGCCCGTGCTCAGGCCCGGGTGAACCTTCTTCAGGGCGAGTTGGACAACTTTGACCCTGAGAACATCCTTGTTGAGTAACCTTTGTGCCGAGTGGCAGTGCTTCTGTAGAGATTTTCCGTAAAATTGTAGTTTTTGTTGTTTGTAATTGTAGTTTCTGGGTAGAATTGGACTTCAAACGGTTCTTTGTATTAGAATTTTAGTGGTTTCCTTTTGACAACCTTCTCCCGTGTTTCACCAGTTGAGTTCTTTCACGTAATTTCATTATTGCACCTTTGGCTGTAGTTTTAGTAATTGGCTGAGCGATAGCGAAGCCCTTGCCGTGTTTGGGCGCGCTGAAAAGTGACTGGTCGTGCGTCTGTCTGTCTGTCTGTCTGTCTGTTTGTACTCACCAACGATTCTCAGCAACTACATTGGCTTTAGGTCCCAAATTTTTTATTTCGTGTCACCTTAGTTCCCCCCAACACGAGTTTGTTTCAAATCGTTGTTTAGTATCGTTTGAAATATTCAAAACATATTTTTGAATCAGGTTATTAGCATGGGTTAGGTTGGCAGCACACACACCAATTTCTCATACCTGCGGCCGCGGCTCTGAAATACGGGACAGAAGCAAATAAGCAAATAAAATAAAATAACGAGCAGAAGGGTTTGGAAATGAGATCGGCCATAGTTTTTCAACATTCTAGAATGATTAAAACCCTTTTGGAGTATCAACACAGCGAAATAT